GGTGGTTGTGCTCGATGTTTTGTTGCTGGTGGTTGCGTCGGTGGTTGTGCTGGTGGTTGTGCGGGTGGCTGTGTTGGTGGTTATGCTGGTGGTTGTGCTCGATGTTTTGCTACTGGTGGTTGCGTTGGTGGTTGTGCTGATGGTTGTGCTGGTGTTCGTGCTGGTGGTTGTGATGGTGGTTGTGCGGGTGGTTGTGCTGGTCGTATTGGTGTTTGTGCTGGTGGTTGCGATGGTGGTCGCGCTGGTGGTTGCGATGGTGGTTGCGCTGCGTTTGTTTTTGTTGGGGTGTGGTTTTATTGGTGGTCGTTTTGCTGGTGGTGGTTGTGCTTGAGGGTTGTGATGGTGGTTGTTGGGCTGGCGGTTGTGATGGCGGGTCGTGTTGGCGGTGGTTGCTCGTGCGACCACCAGCACAGCCACATGCTGGAACACCAGCATAAACACCAGGGCAACCACCAGCACAACTGCCATCAACATTACCACCAGCACAACCACCCGCACAACCACCAGCAAAACAGACAGCACAACCACCAGCAGCAAAACATCGAGCACAACCACCAACACAACCACCAACACAACCATTCGCATAACCCCCCAGCACAGGACAACCACCAACACGACAACCCGCACAACCACCACCAGCACAACCACCAGCACAACCACCCGCATAACCGCCAGCCCAACACGTACCAGCACAACCACCAGCAGAACCACCAACACAACCACCCGCACAACCATCATCACGACCACCACCAGCACAATCATCCGCACAACCACCAGCACAGCTTCCAGCACAGCCATCATCGCAAGCTCTTCTGGTCGGGGTGGTTGGCAAGGGTTTTTCCACTCCGGATGGCTCCAAAAAATGGCCTCCAAGACGGCCCAAGAGAGTCCAAGAGGCCCCCAAGACGGCTCAAAACTGCCCCCGATGCCCTCAAGAGTCCTCCAAGACGGACCACGAGGCCTTCAAGAGGCTCTCCAGGAGGGCCCAAAGAGGACACAATCTTTGATTTTCCTTAGGTTGTTGAAGGATTTTGGCAATTGTTTCTTTTCGCACTTCCGACGGCCCGAAAAAGCTCAAGAGCCACTCAAGATCGCCTCAAAATCGTCCAAAAGGCCTCCAAGATGGCCCCATAACGGCCCGTGAGGCCCCCGCGACGGCCCCTAGAGGGCCTTAAGCCAGCCCAAGAGGCCTCCAAGATGCCTAAGACGGCCTCCACGACGGCCCTGGAGCACCCCAAGAGGGCCTCAAGTCGGTTCAGAGAGGCCCCCTAAGACGGCTGCCGAAGGCGTCAGACGGTCCAGAATCGCCCTAAGGCGGCCAACGAGGCCCCCGAGAAGCCACCAAAGGCCCCCAAGAGGCCCAAGGAGGCCCCCAGATGCTCCCAGGAGGCGCCAAAGAGGCTCCCAGATGCTCCCAAGATGCCCCCTCCTCCTCCTCCTCCTCCTCCTCCTCCTGATCTTCCCCGCCATCCTCTCCCGAATCTTCCCCGAAAGTTTTCCACAACGGCTGGGGGAACACATGGTCTGATAGCTTGGCAGAGCTCTGGCCACAACGTTCGGCCACATGGGCGATCTCAAAAGGCAGGGGGCGGCGGTGATTCGCCGTATGCGTCTTCGATATTTGTGAGCGGCTGGCGTGCTGCCCATCACTCAGAGCGTGCTTGGTAAGGCCCGCTAACCAAAATGCTCGCTGGTTTCGTGATGCTGGAGGAGACTAGAACAAGTTTGCTTCAACTTTGCTTGATTTTGCCACTCGTTGATGTCACTGTACGTGCGCGTGACTTCGCCATCGCGTTATCTGCAATCGGATCGACTGCCTGACCAAACGAGGCTGGAAAGAACCCGATCTGAAGGTCTCAGACATTTCCATGACTGGAACACACATTCTGCCACACATTCGAGCTCCCAAGTGTGCCCGGCCTATGGAGCGCCCGATCCTGGAGGAGGAATAGGAAGAAGAGGCGAGCGGAGGGTTGGGGAGACGCAAGACTCGAATTTGGTGGACTCGACTTCCCCCGACGGGGCCGCCAGAAGAACAATGATGGGACCTACTCTGAAATTTGACGCGAACTACCGCTGAATGGAGCATCCACAGAAAGTGGACCGTCACATTCTATGCCAGGACTGTCAGAAAAGCGGCGGCCAACCCGAGATCTGGCAAACCTCGAGTCTTCCGTTTCCCTGGAAGGGGGGTTGGACACTTGGGGGCCTGGGGGCAACCCTACATGTCTGGCGGTCTGGCGCCTCTCTCTCTCTCTCTTTCTCCCTCTCCCCTTTCCTCGATTGCTGTGCCCATGCGCCCAGGGGCCCCCGCGGCGTGCAGGCCCCCTCCTCCTGGAACCTACTGCTGATTGAAGGGAAGGCGTGCTCACGCGAAGGACATCATGTCTCTGCGTGCCCCAGCCCTCCTGCTCTGCCACCCCCTCGTCGTCATCCTCCTGCTTCTCCACCTCCTTCTCCCCAACTCACTGCTTGTGAAGGGAAGGCGTGCTCAAGCTGGAGGCAAGAAGCCGTGCTCAAGCGAATCACATTATTTGCAATGCGTGCTTCAACCCTCTTCATCTCTTCCACATCCTCATCCTCCTGCCCCCATCGGCTTCTTACATGGGAGTATCTCATGCTTCTAGCGTGGACCTCAAACAATGAAGTAGTGTGGTGCAGTGCAAAGCAACACACAAAGCAAGGCAACACGATGCACATTCAATGCAAACCAATACAACACATGCAAATCAATCCATGTCGGCAATGTTATGGCACCTCCAAATGCCATGGACATCAGCGCAAGCCGTGGGCGCAGCCTCTTGTGCAACCCACTGACACAAGCCCAAATTCCCCGGTGCATCATGCGTAACTCAATGGCGCAACCTGTTGCACCTCACCTTCTCCTGAGCATCATGCACAAGCTGTGGGCGCAGGCTATGGCGCAACCTGCGTGCGCAACCTACGGAGCCCCCGATTCCTCGGTGGGCGCAACCTGTGGCATACAACAAATTCCAATGAAATCAACGCAACCCATGACAATTCAAATTCCCTGGTGCATCAGGCGCAACCCATGACCGCAATCTGTGGCACTCAGGCGCAACCCAAAGGCGCAACCCAAAAATAAAGCATGTCACATCCTTGAACTATCCGTGGCATCAGACGCAACCCATGGGCGCAACATCTACCGCAAACCATGGGAACGATCTATTGCACCGCGAAAGCCTTGGGGCTGAATCCGCCACCGTGCCCCCTGGCACTTTGAGACGTGGTAGATTGCCCAATGATGTCTGGTCGGGATCCTGTAAATTTTCCCAGCGCCCCCCTCGACGCGGAGCACCCCTCCCGCCCTTCTGAGACTCCCTGGGCGGCTCAACGCCTCCCTGGAGCTCCCCAAGGATCCCCAATGCTTCCAAAATGGCCCAAGGCCACCGAGGCCACCAAGAAACATGTTTGTTCTCGGTTCTCTCGCCCGAAACAAAAGGATGTCAACTGACTCCGATGAGGGCCCGGACACGCCCCCTCAGACGGCTCAGCTCAGGACAGCCCAAGAGAGCCAAGATGGCTCACCCAACACAGTCCTAAGACCCCCCCCCAGAGAGCTGAGAGGGGCACAACTGGGCACGGAGTGGGCGTGTCCTCAGGTCCTTCGTCGAATCCTCCAGGCATCAAATCCTCACTCCGGAGGACTCCTTACATGGGCCTGGGCCCAACCATCCGACATCTGGCGGGGCTTCCCGCGTGCCCCCTGGGGCTCCAGGCAGTGTTGTCGCGTGGTCTTCCGGGCCCGAGAGTGGGCCAAGAGGGCTGCCAGACGCCCCCAAGCCGGGCCAAGAGGGCCCCGAGTCGCCGAACGATCGCTCAAGGCGCTCAAGATGGCCCCAGACGGCCCAAGAGGCCTCCAAGACCTCGACTCGAGAGTCCAACATCACCGATTCCCCTTAAGTTTTTGCAGGATTTTTTTTTGGTGTTCTCGCCTTTTCGGCTTCCCGACGCTCCCAGACTGCCCCCAAAGCGCCCCAAGAGGCCTCCAAGGGGGCCCCAACACGGCCCAAGAGGCGCCGAAAACAGCACAAGAGGGCCCCAAGACGGCCCCCAAAGGGGCCCAAGAGAGGGAACACGAACCGAAAATCCGAGCCTTCCGCCCCAAGAGACCCCAGGAGGCCCCAAGAGGCGCCCAGGAGGCCCCATGAGGCTCCCAAGAGGCCCCAACACGGCCCCCGAAGATGAGTCCAAACTGTCTCCACGAGGCCCCCGAGAGGCCTCCCACGAGATCCGAACGAACATCCATCCAATAGGCTTCATACCCACAAGCCAGGCACAATGGCGGGATGGGCCGACGGCCATTCGATAGTTCCGAGAGGGCCTTCGGGACGACAAAAGGATGTTTAAAGACTCCGATGAGGGCCCGAACAAGCCCCATCAGACGGCTCAACTCAGGACCGCCCTAGAGAGCCGAGATGGCCCAAAGAGGCTCCCATCACAGTCCCAAGTCCGCCCCCCAGCCAGCTGAGAGGGGCCCAAGACGGCAGCACTAAGACGGTCCAAGAGGGCTGCAATACATCACCACAGGAGCTCAAGACACCCCCAAAAGGGTCCAGATATTTAGGCCTCATGGGGCCCCCCATCAAGGAATACAGACGTGAAGTGTCACCTGTTACAGCCTTCTGGGCGTTGCTACACCTAGTGTTGCGCTGGCACGGGCGGAACTTGTAACCCAGCTCTTTGTAGACGAGGTAAGAAGCCCTAAGTGGAAACGCTGACATTTGAAACCCAAATTAATGAGAAATCACCGAAGAACACTCGCCCGCAAATTGCGAATACGACCCCGCAAGTGTTGAACAGAACCCCGAAGCTGGCAACCACATTGGGACAATCTGGTCGCCCCCCCCACTGTGAACGCTTGATGGTCAAAACGGTCATCACCGACAACACGGGCAAAAAGGGACGGCAAATGACACTGGGTAATTAGGATGGATGGGAAGAGCATAACGGAACGCAATAATTCGACCCTCCCCGTC